TTATTAATTACAAGCAGGAAATAACTTTACAGAGAAGGAAACTGGTATATCTTCTCCAGGTGATCAAAGATCATGCATGTTGATAAATCAACAATGCCTCCCCATACAATGCATGACCTGGGTCTGGTCATGAGGAAAGCCCAGCCAGACCTGCAGGGAGGGACATTCTACAAAATAACCAGCTGGTTCCCCAGTGCTACAAAAGAAAACACAAAGCTGCCATCAGCCCTCGATGGAAGGCCACTGAGGCACCATGACCAGGGTGCCTGGACTGGGGCTAGACCTGGGAAATCAATGCCACATGGGGCAGCACTAGGGCTGCTGGTAAAGCTGAACTGGGCTGTGGGTTAAATTCTAGTATTGTATCCACACTACAGTTCTTTATTTTCATAAATGCACCCTGGTTATGAGAGAATGTCCTGGTCCTTAGGAAATAGGCACCAAAGTAACTGGGGTAAAGAGATACAATGTCTCCACCTACGCCCAAAGGTTATAAAAACAAATATGTGCAAATACATACGTGTGTGGACCGACAGGTAGGTGGCTAGGTAGGTGGACAGACAGGTGAGAGGAAAGGAGGGAGGAGCAGTGAGAACCTTGAAGCAAGTGGGGCAGGGGCGTCTGGGCAAAGGTACTTGGGAGTGCCTTGCACCGTTCTTGCAGCCATCTTTAAGTAATCCAGCATCATCCCCCACACCCCATATTAAAAAAAATGTGTTTGGTTTTGTCCCCACTTTCTGGCACAGAGCTCCAACCCTTGGAATTTGCTGAGTGACAGAAGTGTATTTTGTTATTCATAACGACCCCCTCTGACCACACCTGAGTTTATGCTAACAAGGTGACCTAGGGTGGGGTCCCTAGATGGTCTCTGATGGGGCTGGTCACCAGAAAGACCAAGCCACTCGAGGACTGGAATGTCTAGCCCCACCCCCTGGCCTCTGGGAAGGAGTGGGGGTTGCTGGAGATTAAACCCTCGAAAATCTCTTGGACAATGAAGTTTGATGAGCTTCCTGGTTGGTGAACACATGGGGGCGTGAGGAGGGTGGCACACCCAGAGGCTGTGGGAGTCCTGCACCCCTGCCCCTAGTCCTTGCCTTGTGCATGGCCTCTTGAGTCATATCTTTCATGATAAATAAGAAATGTAAGCAAAGGGCCTCCTGAATTCTGTGAGCCACCCTAGAGAACTATCAAACCCAAGGAGGGGGTTGCAGGACCCCAATTTATAGCCACTTCATCAGAAGTACAGGTGCCAACCTTGGACCTGTGATTATAGCTTCTAAAGCGGGGGCTGAACCCTTACCCTGTGGGGCTGGTGCTAACTCCGGGTAGTTGGTGTCAGAACTGAAAGGAATTACAGAGCACCCAGTTGGCGTCTGTAAGAAGCGGTCGTTGGCGTTGGAAAACACCCCACTCCCCGAAACAAAACAGACATGGAGCAATCGGAATTCCTCAAATGCTGCTGAGGGGAGTGGGAACGGGCACAACCACTTTGGAAATCAATCCAGCAGTATCTGCTCAGCACACACGCACTACGCATGCCCAATCCGTGCCGCTCCCCGGTAATACCCAACAGAGAAGGGAAGACACGTGTGCATCCAAGACATACACAGAAGCGTTCGGGGCAGCATTACTCCTACTAGCTCCCAAGTGGAACTGGCCCAAAGGCCAATCAAGGATAGAGTAGACAAATCCGCCGTAGTGGTGCACTGACCTAATTGATACACACCCAGGACCCAGTGGGGCATTCCACCTGCCCAGTGGAATTCTACCCAGAAACAAGAATGTCGGCTCTACAGATAAACACAGCAGTGTGGGGCAATCTTATAAAGACAAGGCTGAGCCAAGAAGCCCTTCATTATTGGGGTGTTGTGCTAGGCTCAAGGGATGTCAGGATGAGGAGGACATTCTGGCCTCCTGGATGGCACCCCCTCAGTGCAAGAGACCAAGGCAGCGCAGTGGGGGCTGGGTCTGGAGGGACTCGCAGGAAGTCTGGCATGCAGCTCTGTTCACGCCCAGGGGCAGGGCCTTCTGTTTGCTTCAGCCTGGTGCCCAAAGTCCTGGTGGGATGTGAGTGGGTGCCCTGGAAATGTCAGGCCACGGACTGAATGAATGGCAGGCCCACCATAAGCCCATAGAAATGCATCAACACACACTTGGCTGAGTCAAGTCTAGATAAGGACACCCACGTACGTCTCCAGCCCCACCTGGGGTATGACCTGGAGGTGCTGGCCAGCTGCCATCCTGCAGCTAAGCACACCCAGACTCGCCTGTTCCCTAAGACCGTCCCCTCCACCGGTCCCCAGCAACCAGAGTCCTTGGAAGTCACTGCAAGAACTCAGTAAATCCTATTTTCCGTCTTCTCTTCCTGACGCCTGCACCCAGCAGGAGGGCTGGCGGGAAGCACCCTGCACTACTGCATTCCTCATGAGTGGCTGCTGCAATTTCAGGCCAGGCTGCCTGACCCACATAACTGGGAAGTGTGTTCCTATGGAGCACCCAAGCCCAGGAAGCGGAGCTGAGGACACCCACATGGGGGGCTAGGGGAGCCCCTGCTGTCAAACCTCTGGCCTACCCACTCCTTGACTGTGTGGCGATTAGGCCAGAGGTGAGGCTGACTCCAGAATTCTCCATTTAATGAACAGGACCTGACACAAAGCGCGTGTGCGTGCCCACCCAGCTGACTCTCTCGCCTAAGAACTATTTTAAAAACTAAGGAAGAAGAAAAAGATAAGATAACAGATGACACAGAAATGCAACAAACACCTTCTGTGTGTGTGTGCCTTCAACAAACATTTAATCCACACCTACCACAGACCAGCCCACACTCAACCTTTGATTGACATTTCTAGAATGAAAACACCGGCTGGGCTCAGGACCTGGGTTTGCAAGTGGCTTTTGTGGCGTGGCAGTGAGGTCCACAGCTCTCCTAGTCCACAGGTGAAGACCTGAAGCTCAAAGAGACAAACTCCTCGAACAGCACAGCCAGTGGGTGCCACAGCCAGGGGCAGAACCCCAGCTGGGCACATGGCCCTGAGGCCACATTAGTAAACAGTGGCATCCAGGGGGTGGCCAGTCATTGGCATCACTCAATCTTCAGCAAATATAAAGCAGAGGATCCCTTTCTGTACCTCCCAGAATGGGGGCAGAGACTCCTCGGGGGGCCTCACATTCCAGGAGAGGACCCAGGAGAGGACAGTGAGCCACGGGGAAGGGAACCCCAGGAACTACTGCAGCAGGGGGAGGCAGGGACGCAGCCCAGCCAGGAGGATTTCCTAGGAGCTGAGCTTCATTCACATATCAACTAGGCTCAGAAAACTGGTAAGAGTTTGTCTTATCCAAGGGAAAAGAGGGGAGGGATAGTGTTCCGGGCACTGCAAGAGCAAAGGCCAAGAGGCCCGGAACCCCCGGGCACAGGGTGTGTGTCAGGCTGTGGGAGTGGCCAGGAGGTGGGGCCGCCCTTCTGCACCTCCTCTGGGGCCAGACAGGAGAGCCGGGTTTATAGCAGCAGCCACTGCTGGGTGCTCTGGAGCCGGAGAGTCCCTGGGCAGCATGCTGTGTGCCCTGCTCCTCCTTCCCAGTCTCCTGGGGGCCACCAGGGCCAGCCCCACCTCAGGCCCCCAGGAGTGTGCAAAGGGCTCCATGGTGTGGTGCCAGGATCTGCAGGCAGCTGCCAGGTGTGGAGCCGTGGGGTACTGCCAAGGGGCCGTATGGAACAAACCCCCCGTGAAGTCTCTGCCCTGTGACGTATGCCAGGACATAGCAGCTGCCGCTGGCAACGGGCTGACCCCTGACGCCACGGAGTCTGACATCCTGGCTTTGGTGATGAAGACCTGTGAGTGGCTCCCCAGCCAGGAGTCTTCAGCCGGATGCAAGTGGATGGTGGATGCCCACAGTTCAGCCATCCTCAGCATGCTCCACGGGGACCCGGACAGCGCCCTGGCACAGGTGTGCACAGCGCTCACCCTCTGTGAGCCGCTGCAGAGGCACCTGGCCACCCTGGGGCCACTCTCCAAAGGGGACACCTCTGAGGCTGTGGCTCCATTCATGGCCAATGGGCCCCTTAGGTTCCACCCTCCCCAGGTGCCTGAAGGAGCTCTGTGCCAAGACTGTGTACGGCAGGTCTACCGACTCCAAGAGGCTGTCCGGTCCAACTTGACCTTGGCAGACTTGAACATCCAGGAGCAGTGTGAGTCCTTGGGGCCTGGCCTGGCTGTCCTCTGCAAGAACTACCTCCGTCAGTTTTTTGTCCCTGCTGAGCAAGCACTGAGCCTTCTCCCCGCGCAGGAGCTCTGCAGGAAGGGGGGATTCTGTGAGGAGCTAGGGGCACCTGCCCACTTGACTCAAGCAGTGGCCATGGACGGGGTCCCCTCCCTGGAGCTGGGGTTGCCAAGGAAACAGAGCGAGATGCAGATGAAGGCCGGAGTGACCTGTGAGGTGTGCATGAGCGTGGTGCAGAAGCTGGACCACTGGCTCATGTCCAACAGCTCTGAGCTCATGATCATCCACGCCCTGGAGCGCGTGTGCTCGGTAATGCCTGCCTCTATCAGGAAGGAGTGCATCATCTTGGTGGACACCTACAGCCCCTCCTTGGTGCAGCTTGTGGCCAAAATCACCCCAGAGAAGGTGTGCAGGTTCATCCGTCTGTGTGGCAACCAGAGGCGGTCCCGAGCACTCCCTGACGCCTATGCAGTCGTGCCGTCCCCAGAGTGGGACGCGGAGAACCAGGGCAGCTTCTGCAATGGTTGCAAGAGGCTGCTCACGGTGTCCTCCCACAACCTGGAGAGCAAGAGCACCAAGCGAGACATCCTGATGGCCTTCAAGGGTGCCTGCAGCATCCTGCCGCTGCCCTACATGATCCAGTGCAAGCACTTTGTCACCCAGTATGAGCCTGTGCTCATTGAGAGTCTCAAGGACATGGTGGACCCTGTGACTGTGTGCAAGAAGGTGGGGGCCTGCCACGGCCCCAGGACCCCACTGCTGGGCACTGACCAGTGTGCCCTGGGCCCAAGCTTCTGGTGCAGGAGCCACGAGGCCGCCAAGCTGTGCAACACTGTGCAGCACTGCCAGAAGCACGTATGGAAAGAGACGCCCCTCCACGCCGGGGAACACGCATGACCGTGGCCGCCAGAGACCCAGAGCCTGCTAGCCACGCCCCAGGAGGTTCCTGTACCCCACAGGAGCCCCATGAGGTGGGTGCTTTCCCATCCCCATCTCACAAATGAAAAACTGAGGCTCGGAGGAGGGAGGCTGGGAAGGAGCAGAGCCGAAGTTCAAAGCCAGGTATTCCTGACCCCCAAGGGCTCTCTCTTTAACAACTGTGCTGCCTCGAAAGCATCTTACTGGACCAGAGCAAACTCATGTGCCCTGTTCCTCGACCCAGCCAAGGCTGCCCCTTCATCTCCAAGGCTGTGCTGTTGCCGGTGGTTCCATGAGAGCCTGCCCATGGCCTCGGGTGCCCCTTTACCTTCTGCTGGATGGATGTCCAGCTGTGAGCCAGGCTGGGGTCGTGGCCGGGGTGGGCAGAGGCAGAGGCAGAGGCAGAGACAGATGGAGGCGTGGAGGGCCTGTCTCTAGTGGGGTCGTTACCTCTTGTCAACAGCTGGGGGTGGCTCAGGCCAGAGCTTCTCAACCTGGAGTCCCTCAGAATGGCTGCCAAAGGTGTGTGTGAGAGACACGTATCCCTGGACTTTTCTTGGGGGAGGTCTGGGACTTTGGCCACATTCTCCAAGGGCTGCTGGGCTTCGGAGCAGTTCCCCCCATGTCTCGGCCACCCCAGGGCCCCTCTCTCTCCTTGTGCCCCAGACCCTCTGCTGCCCTGGTAATGAGCAGAAGGAAAGTCTTGGGGTGTGCTCAAAATCAGGAGAGCAAAACATGCCAGGCAAAACCCCCGGGAAAAGCCGGAGGAGTCTGGGGCGACCAGCGGGGTGTGGAGCAGCAAGGGCAAAGACAATGATCACAGCCCTCCAGTTGTCTGAACCTCAGTTTTCCAATCTGTAGAATGGGGATGATCATACCTGCCTCACAAGAATGTTGAGACAATTCACAGAAATGTTCTGGAGCCCTATCCCCCTGTGACCGGCATTCATGAGTCTGCTGGGACCAGAAAACCCATCTCAGGGGGTCAGCGGGGCACCCAGGAGAATCTGGCTGTGCACGTGCTGTATAAACCACAAGCGTTCTCCACATGCTGTGTGCCGCGTTCTTATTCTCAGGGAAGGCGCAGGTCCCAGAGCTGCTACAACAGCCCCCACCTTGCCCTGGTGCCTCCACCTCACCCTGTTGCCCCCTCTGGCAGAAAGCCTCTGGGGGCTTCATGCTGGGTTCAAGTGCTCCTGTGGTTTCTGTTCCTGCTGTGTGGCCCCCCTAAGACACTGTGCCCCCTCCAGGGGAGTCCCTGGGCATGAGCCTGCCGTGTCCTTGCAGCTGGCCCAGCACCCACGCGCAGCAGGTGCTCACACATCTGGGAGCCACACACACGAGTCCCGGGGGAGGAAGCTGGCATTTCACCTGAGGCCCATGGATTAATTCTCCTCTTGAGCAAGAGGTACGCCAGGCCTGGATGGACAGGATGTGAGCGGGTACTGTTTTCCAAGAGGCCACACCCGAGCTCTTAAGTAAACGTCCCAGGCCTGGGCCACCGCCCCAGGAACACAGGCACACTTGGCCTGAGATTCTGGATGCCTCAAAAGTGGCCCCTGTTGGCTGATCAGGCCTGGGCCCGCTGGGCAGTCCCACAAAAGATGAGGCCAGCAAGGGGTGGCGGTCATACCTGGCCACCGGATGGGCCAGGAAGGCAGATGTGCACCAGACTCCAAAACAGAGGGCCTGAAGTTGGGGGCCTCTGTATCTGCCTCTTCCCCTGAGACCACCCGCCCTCTCCAGGAGCAGTCCCAGAGGCTCTTGGTCTGCCTGCCAGTCGGTGTCCCCGCCGGACACACCCTCTGGGACAGGATGGAGCCACAGGCCCTCCGGATGGAGCCACAGGCCCTCCTCTGGCTTGGCTGTGAGTTGGGAGGATGTGTGTGACATGACCTGAAATCCCCCAACAGGTCACCTGGGAGAGGCCGAGAGGGCAGCGCCACACCTGCCAGGCGGCCCAGCCTGGGGCGCACCTGCTCCCAGTTCAGCGCACCTGCCCCAGTTCAGCGCACCTGCCCCCACCCCAGAGCTACCTACGGCGGGTGGTCAGGGTGAGCTGTCTCCACGCCCTTCCCCACCCACCCCCAGGCCCAGGTACCAGCTCCCCACAGAGCCACTCACCAACAAGGCCCCTACCAGATGGCTGCCCATGATGAACCGAGCTCACTGGTCATGATCCCACAGGCCCAGCTGCACACCCAGGTCATGAGCACAGCCCTGCCCCACCCACAGGGCCCTCTGACCTCCACTCACTCATCCGCCACCAAAGTGGCAAGGTCCCAGTCACCTCCATCCCTTGTGCCTGGCACCAAGCCCAGAACACAGGAGGTGCTCTGCAAGGGTCTGCGCGGGGTGGCTGCCTTGGGGGCTAAAGGCAGAGAGGCAAGAGGAGCAACGGATTTGCTCCTCTGGTGCTGATGGCACCATTCAGCACTGAGACTGAGGCTTAAGGAGTCCATCCAAACGACTCCATAGCATAGCCACTGCGTTCAGACTGGAAAAGGCTTTTCAGGAGAAGGCCCTGTAACTGCCCGGCTGTGGGAGAGGAGACGCCAGCCCAGGAGAAGAACAATTAGCCCTACTGGGCCTAGAAGTTTGGAAGACCCATCCCAACAAGGATAGGAAATCAAGACAGATGCTGAGCATGGATCTCCCAGAGGCGGTGACTGCACCACACAGAGGAGCCGCTCTGCCCGGGAGGAGGGAGTAGGGCTCCCCGCCCGGCTGCCAGAGCTGGGCAGGCACCCGCCTTCAGCCAGACACACGCCGGGCATTCTTCAGATGCCGTCGTGAGGCAGAGATCTGGGACGCCCCAGAACACCTACAGATGCTGCCCCTCGTGCTTTCTCAGCCACACCAGGGTGTAGAGGGGCTGGGGGAGCCGGGAAAAGGGTTTGGTGGTCCAGAGGTTTTTTTTGTTTTTGGCTTGGGGCTTTTCTTAGAAGTGATGTGTTGCTAGAAACTTCAAACCAGATACAAATACACCCAATGATGTTCTCTCTCTCTCTCTTTTTTTGGTGAATAATTTATACAAACTCAGGGCTCTCCTGGAAAGCATGGAAGAGCAGTCCGTGGGCACAGCCACCTTCAATGTGGGAACGGTGAGCCCTGTGCCCAGGAGGGACATGTCAGGGACAGCCCATGCTGTCCACGCTCCCTCCCCCACTTTCACCTCCCGGGATGAACTTTAAATCCTATTCCTTACAACGAGAAGCAGGCCCAGAAAAGCTTCCCCTGCACACCTGAGTGCCATGTACCACAGGGCCCAGGACAGTGGCCCCTGTGCACCGGACGGGGGTTGCCAGCCTGCTGGGCATGGCTCCAGGAGCTGTGCCGGCTTCACTCATGCTCCCCCGCCCCACAGCCACCATGAGACAGACTATTCTTATTCTATTCCTCAGAGGTGGATGCTGAAGCTGGAGAAGTAACTTGCCCAAGGCCACACAGCCAGTAAGTGGAGGGGGCAGCAGGCTCAGGGCCTGTGTTCTCTGTCCTCACACCCACGACACACAAGGCATCCATGTGTAAGCCCTGATCCCACCACTCTGGGGCCTGGGTTCAGAGTCCTCATCCCTAACCAGGGTGACCCCACCTCTCCGGGTTCCTGCGCAGGACTGAGGGTGCCCTGTGGGAGGGGCCCGCTGGGTGCCTGCACAGAGGAAGGGGCTTTGCCAGGCACGTCCTTCCACGACACCTCTGTCTTTTCTGTTTTTCCAGCTGGTCTCTTAAAATACATTTTCAGTGTTACATTTTTGCAGATCTTTAAGTGACACTGATTTCCAGGTCTGGTAAGGCAGATTCACTTTCCCAGAGTACCGTAACCACTCCCTGCTGCTGTTTTCTTCATGTCTCCCTCACCAAATGCCCTTAGAGTGGAAGAGGCGACGGGACCTGGTAAATTAGTCAAATGCTGATGCCAAGGCCCTGAGAGTGCGCAGGGCTGCAGGGACGTCCAGCTGCTGTGAGCCCCCAGCCACGTCTCTGGGGAGCTGTGGTGGAATACAGCGGCATCTAGGAAGCTCATGCTCAACTCCAGCCATGCCGCAGGGGCCTCGTGATGTCACAAGGCACTTTCCCCAAGGTCCCAGGCAGGGGGTGTGCAGGCCCGACCTCATGCACACATGCACGCATGTGCCTCAATGTAGACAGTTCTGTGCCAGGTCAAAAGTCACCAACTCTGCCACCCCTGACCCAACTCTTGCATTCTCTTCTCCTCAATTTCCTCATCTGTGAAATGGTCACAGCAGCCCCACGTGCCTATCCAACAGCATAGTTACAGGTTACAGTGACAACGAATCCTGCTAGTGGACACATCCTGTGAGCCAGCCACTTGGCTCACTCAGACTGGTGAAGAGGTGCCTTCCTGGGGTCCGGGTTCCCACACCCCACCGCCCCCTCCTGTCTAGTCTCATCACAGCCGTGATCTTGACAAAATCTAAGTCCAGGCCAGCTCACAGCCTCCTCAACTCCCAGTAAAAGCAGATACAAGCTGAGGCCCTCACCAACCCTGCGGCACTGTCGGCCGGGTGGACCCCACCAGGGCGCAGCCCAGCCCCTCCCCTTGCTCCTTCCTCTCCAGCCACCCCGGCCTCACATACCCCTCAGGCCCACCCCAGGGCCTTTGCTTGGCCCTAGACATGCGCCTCTCAGTCCCTCCTGCGGTTCCAGCCTTCCCTGCAGAACTCTGCCCAGCATCACCTCCAGCCCCCACCTGCTGTTCCCACCACTCCACACTTGTCTCAGTCTCTGCTGCCCTCACTGCCCTCGGCCCCAGAGCTGACGACTCGGCTATCTGGCTGCGGCCTGGCTTCCCTTGGAATGCGAGCTGCAGGAGGCAGGAGTTCACCTCAGTGGTCTCCGTCACAGTCCCGTCACCAAGACAGAGCCCGGCGTAGAACAGGCTCCATGAGCAGGGCAAGAGCGAATGAGCACGGACTCTTCTGGGACCACCTGCAGCCCTCTGGCCTGCCCTTTGTGCTGACGCCGCCCTGGGGTCGCAGGTTTCTCAGAAGGCCTAGCCGTGGCCATACCTTCCAGTTATAGGATACAGAACCCGTCTTTCAATCAATGAAGATGGATCCGTTCTGCTCGGTTCCAGCAGCTGCCCCAGGGACGCTATGCAAAACAAGGCTATTCTCCATGGCCCAGGCGAAGGTACGGGCAGATGGGCCCCACCCCAGGACCCACAGATGATGGCTGGATGGGGCCTGGGTGTGGAAACCCAGGGAGATGCATGTCCCCAGAAGAGCCCACACAGCAGACCCCAGGTGGGTGAGCCTATTCCTGCCCTCTGGCTGCATCTCAACCTCCATTCCTCCGCCCTCAGGGGTGGTGATATGGTTCGGGTGCCTGCCCCCTCCAAAGCTC